TAATCGGGTCTGCAAGCAAGGGAAGGCGCAAGGGGAAGCAGGGCTTTCGCACCGTGGACCGACCCGTGACGGGATCCTACGTGCGGGACCATAACATAGAACAATTGAATGATTCATAATGTGTCACAATGTTGCATACGGCTGAGGACATGAGTTGCAAGCCCTACTTAACAACTGCACACATGATAACATAGAGTCCTAGTGGCCAAATGCCCTTATAAGACATGGGCCCAACTGAGAAACATGTGTAGGGCCCATGGAATGAAATTTTTGTATTTTTGTGTAATTTTTGTTATATTTTTTCATTTTTATATTTTTCTATAAATTCTTGTTTTATTCTACAACTTTTATTCAATGTTTTGTAATTTATGGTTTTTTGTTTGTTGTAATTTCTATTATTTTTATCAGTTTTTATGACTTTCTACATTTTTTGTAAATTTTCTGTGTATTTCTTTGTTTTTTTGTAATTTATATTATTTTCTTAATCTTCCATGTTTTTCATAATTATTTTGCAATTTTTATTTGTTATTTAACCTATGTTATTTTCTACATTTTCTATCTTTATTTGTATATTATGTATTTTTTATAGTTATATTTTTCGAGAATTTATGTATTATGTGAAAAATTAATGGGTTGGGTAGGTTGGGTTGGGTTATGGTGGGTTTAGGTTGAACCCAAAATGGGTCATTAACAAGTTGATGGGTCAGGTGCCTACCCAATGGCTTTTTAGAAAAGACAATGTTTTTTTTTTTTTTTTTTTTTTGCCAACAACTATCATGCACCCTCATATAGAATTGGGATATGATGGAAAACCCAAAAATGAAGGGGTAGAATTGGTATGAAAAATCAGGGTCTTTCGACCACACTAAGTGAATCATTCTCATTTTTTATATATGGTAATAGATATAAATTCTTATTTTATTCTACAATTTTGTTCATTTTTTTTGTAATTTATGGGTTTTCTTTGTATTTTGTAATTTATGTTTTTTTCCTTCAATTTTTATGATTTTCTCTATTTTTTTTGTAAACTTTCTCTATGTTTCTTTATTTTTTTGTAATTTATATTATTTTCTTCATTTTTTGTGTTTTTTCACAATTATTTTGCAATGACAATATATACAATCGGAAAAAAAATAGAAAGTTTAGGGTAAAGTTAGAAAGTAATATAAGCATGTTTTGAGCAAACCAATTGCAACATTCTCATTTTTTTAGTATGGTATATAGAAATTTTTATGAATTTCTATTTTTTGTAAATTTTCTATGTATTTCTTTATTTTTTTTCAATTTATATTATTTTTTCCATTTTATGTTTTCCGTAATTATTTTGCAATGACAATATATACAACGGGAAAAATAGAAAGTTGAGGGTAAAGTTGGAAAGTAAAATCAGGGTGTTTTGACTAAACCAATTGCAACATTCTCATGTTTTAGTACTAAATTAATATTAAGCCCATAATAGGATTAATATTGTTTAACTAAAATTAATATTAATTCAATAAGAGGTGTCTTTCGTGTTCTTTTCAAGTTTTGGTGTTTAGATGATTTCACATGCACTATGTTAATCTTGAGTGAGGTTCATGGATTTTTAATTTTTATCCTAAATATCAAGGTGAATTTATATAAAAATTGAGTGATATATGATTTCAGCAAAAACATAAATAATGATAAATTATTGGTTATGCAATCTCCAACCACCATTTAGCAGTCCTTATGTGTCTTATTTGTAATTGATGAGAATGTATGGATGGTTGCAATGAGTTAAATGAAAATAGTATATAGCCACAAGGTCACCACCAGAGTGTACGTAGCCATTTATGATAAGATCAAATACTTGAACGGTCAAAAAAGAATATTGAAAAACAAAAATTGTTAGGGTAAAGATGGAAAGTAAAATCAAGATACAACCATCTTAACAGTTTGCATTCTCATATTTTATCATTAGAAAAAGTTTGATGGACAACCTCATGAATCATGATAGTTAAATTAAATACTGGAAAAACAAAAATTGTAGAGGGTAAAAAGGGAAAATAAAACCAGTCTTTTTGACTAAAAAATTATTACCATCTCATTTTTATAAATGGTACAGATTATTATTATTATTATTATTATTATTATTATTATTATTATTATTATTATTATTATTATTATTATTAAAGCAATATAAGAAAGACGAATAATAGAAGGATGATGTACTAATCGGCTTATTACCCATTAGTCCAAAATCTTAGCTTCAAATCTTCTGACATGTAGCTTATATGAATATTTTCAAGTTGCAATTGAGTTGGACAGTTGAATTGATTGACATGTTGTATAAACAAACTTTTTCGATGTGTTTCAACTTAAACCACATTTTGCAACCATTGACTTTGCAAACAATGACAAGTCATAAATAAGGCATTAGTTGTCTTTAGGGTAAAAGATTTAAACATACTCATACATTGTGATTGTTTTATCTTTCATTTTCTTTTAACTTTTTAACTTTTCAAATAAGAATCAAATAGAAGACAAACTTTTACTAAGTGTTCAATTTGTTAGTGGGTTGATCTCAAAAGATTTTTGAGCTTCCCTTGACGGGTGCTCCTAAGCAAAAGTAGACCTATGAAGAAGCTTCTCTTTAATGATAAAAAAACATGGAGCAGACAAGTGGTGCAAAATACTGAAAGACCTAGAATTCAGTGGTGTATTGGCTTTAAGTTCAAATGTGGATTTGACGGATAAGTGAGGAATGTGTGTCTATCATGGCAAATGGGCAAGGGATCCAAAGAGAAGGGTAGGTTAGGATTCAAAAGGGACCAACAAATCCTAAAACATGATCATAACTTAATGGAGTTCAGTAGTTCTGAGTGATAAGAAATTGTTGATGCCAAACCTCTTGCAATGTCTAGTAGTGGTTAGGGGTGTTCATAGGTCGGGTTGGGTCGGTTCAAGTCATTTTATTCAACTAACCTGACTTGGTCGGTTTACTTAATCACCAAACTGAAACCGACTGACCCTAAAACAAAATCGATTCAAACATGAAGGGTTGGTTTGGGTCGATTTATCGGTTTAGTTGATCAGCTTATCAATATTTATTTACTAAATATTTATTTTTAAGATTACTATCAATTCAAGATTCATAATGAATGAGTTTAAAAAGAAATAATGAAAAACAATGAGCACCAACCTCACTGAGCATTTCTAGGAAAAAAAACCCCTCATAGAGCATAAAGAGAGGATATATAGACTTTCAGTCTTTTACACAAGTCTATACTCTAGACTCTAAACACATTTAACATGTATTAAAATTTAAAATATTAAATAAAAAATAAAATACTAACTTGAATGTGATGCTTGAGAGAATAAGAGTTGAGAAGAAATGAGGAAAACAACACTTGTAATGGTGGACGAAAGAAGCCTTGATAGTTGCAGATTTGCAACTTGAGGCGGTAGAGACTAGAGAGTGGAGAGTAGAAAAGTAGAAGGATGAAGATGAAGATTGAAAGAGAATCAAAACTCCAAGACTCTTGAATCCAATGTGTTTATTGTTTCCTATTCGGAAAGCAAGCCTTGGAGAGAAGAACCTCTCTTTCCATTTTTTCAAGACTTCAATGTGTCCACTATCCAAGACTCCATGACAACAATTTTCTCTAAGTTTTGGTAAGTTGAAAGGTTTAGGGATCTTGCTTGCAATGCTTGTTGATTCCAAAAAGGTAATAAATGGTGAGATAAAGTGTGGCTCTTATACTATTATTTAAATGGGAAATTGTCAAAAACTCACCATGAGTTTTCAGCATTTCTCTTAAACTCAACACAACTTTTCAAAACGTCAAAAACTCACCATGTCAGTAACTTGATGTTAAAGAGACTAATGGCTGTTAATATAATACCATTTTGACCTTCATAGAAAAATATAAAATATATACATATATTTTAATATTTAAACATGAAAAAGGAAAAAGTTCAAAAAAATATTTTCAAATATAAAATATAGAACTTACAAAAAATATATAAAAAATAATAGAAATTGCACACAAAATAAAAAATTATTTTCAAATTATAAAAACTATAGAAATTGAAAAACAAAATAAGAAAATAAAAATTGTAGAAAAACATAGAAATTGCAAATAAATAACAAAACAAAAACAAGAAATTTTATAGATGGTAGAAAATAGAAAAATGTAAAAAAAAAACAGAAATTATAACAAAACACTAAAAATGTAAAAAAAAATGAAAAATGAAAAAGACCATTTTCCTCTAACTCACCATTCAAGGGTGATTTGGTTATAAAAATTGTTAGTGTTGACGTGGACACCTCTGTTAAGAAACATTAACGGTGCACTAATGGAAGGTGAGTTTTGGAAAATAAAAACTTACTGACATTGTGAGTTTTAGACATATTGAAAAGTTGTGGTGAATTTAAGAGAAATGTTGAAAACTCGTGGTTAGTTTTTGACAATTTCCCTATTTAAATTAGCTTTTGAAATTGACTCAAAGTATGACTTTTCCCCCATTCCCATGTTTCCTATAAAGTTTCTAACTCAAAAAATAAAAACAATCCCAAAACAAAACCAATTCCCCATTTAGCTAATGTTTTTCATGTTACTTAAACTTAAAGCTAACTAGGAACTAGGATAGGGATTAGGGAAAGACTAGGGAGTAGGGACTAATTACTTAAACTTTCATATGTGAAAACCAAAACCAAACCAAAATGTCCCTACTTACACTTTTTTTCCCTTTTCTTCCAAGCCAAACACAGCCTTAATGGGGGTATATCAAAATTCGATCCGATAACTAAATGGATTAAATTTCCCAATTCAATTAAATTTGTTTAATTTTAGGAACATCTGTCAATCGAATTTGGATTCAAATCGGATCAGACCCGAGTCATTTGCAGTCCTAAATCCATGTTGTCACTAACCACATTGTGCACCGCGTTGTATGCAAAAACATCCACTAGACGTTTCAAACAATTGAAATTGAATTATGTTCTTTCTTGAAATGACTCTTTAATTCAAATCTGTGGCGTGTTATGGTTTATGAAGGGCCAGAGAGGAATTAATACCTGTAGGAGCTATGTACCTTATTCAATTTGGACTGCATGAGGTGACTCATAAACACTATTATTAAGGCTTTACAAGATAAGTATACTACGGAAGAATGGACATTTGAAGCTGATAAAACCCAGCACTTATTAGTAGACAAGAAGCAAATTAGAGAAGACCAGGTGTTTGATGAAAGTCTAGCATGGGCTAGTCTAAGTGAGGGGGATCTTGTTGGCTTGTAGTGAACCATATGGGTCCATTGTATTGATGAACTTGGCTCTGAGCCATCCGCTTCTGTTCTTGGCCTTGTTGTGCGCCATAGAGGGCAACTTGGCCCTGTATCTCAGCAAGTTCACGTTGAGCAACAAGTATCAATTGATGTAATTGAGTTATAATTCCTACACACCCATAAACTGGGTCTCTGACCCTTGAGCTTGCCTCGAAGGATATGCAGTCAGCAGCCACTGCACGTTGATGGACTGGGAGTTGCTGCTCCAAACAAAGAAGAAACAAATACCCATCTGTCAGAATTGAGGAAATAAAAGTTCTCTAGAAAAGAACTAAGAATAGGTTTCCAACTCTCTAAACCTTTAAGAAAATGTGATGAAGAGAGCGTAAGCTCTTCAACTGTAAACTAGTTTCTTTATCCAACTACAGAGCGTAAGCTTTCTGCTAAAATATAAATGATAGAGACCCATTATTTCAAACTGAATTATGGGATTAAAAAAATGAAAAAAAATATTTATAAACCCATAATTAAAATCCAAGAATATTTTCCTTTACTCTTATATTTCCCATTAAATATAAAAATGAAAAAGAAATAAAAAACCATTAACTCATTAATGGTTAAATCTTTGAACTTCTTAATTGGATTTAATGAATTATACTGTAATAAATGAAAAATCTTCTTACCTGTAACATCTTAGTAATGTTACTAGCCCCAAAGATTTTGTGAACACAAGCAAATCTTTGTGGATTGGTTGAAGGGAAATAAGGGGCGAGAGTGCAATCTTGTGGGCACCTCCTACGAAGAGATTTGCAAGCTGCACATCGGGTGGAATTAGACATTGTTGGATTCTGTAGAATCTCTAGGAAAATTTTCTGTGATCTTCCTTGCTTGATCAAATCTAAATTTCTGATTTTGTTACAGTTGTCTTTTCTTTTTGAAATGCAAAGGAAGATTTAGCATCTTTGAAACCTCCAATTCTGGAATGCCCACAACGGCTAGAAATTCAAATGTAGAGGAGAAGAAAAAAAGGCAAGCTTTTCAAGAATAATGAGAAGATTTTAACATATAAAGGAAGGAAACAAAGGTGGTGTGAAGTGTCTTTATATGGGAGAGAGGCCATGAGCTGGCGGGTTTAAGAAAATAATTAATCTAAGTTAGCTCTGAATCTTCTATATGCACACCATTATAATTGCCAACATAGTTAATTAGTTCTGTATATATTACGAGACTGATAGTGTTTAGGAGAGCACATCTGCTCAAACCACAGTGGCATGCATCAACTGCATTTTATATGTAAGTTTAATTTAGAATGAAGGATTAGAATTTAGGGGTTTTTGGTTTAGGGCTTATATGTGAAAATTAGGGTTGAAGTTCGGTAGACTGGGCTGCGTTTAAGTTCAATCCAGGCCCAATCTTAAGAATTGGACCTAAGACCCAAGCCCGAGGTCAAACCCAAAATATTCAATCTGCGTGCAACCCAAACTGAAATTTGATGCACTCAGGTTGGGTTCAGTTTAGTCAATCAACCTACACTAAAATTCAATATAACTGTATGACTATATGTAAGATTTACCAAAAAATAAGCATGGGAATATGCATCTATGCATACAAATATGTGTTTGTACATGTGTATGCTTGAGTTGGGATTAAGATAGGCTTGAGCTTGAGCCAGGTTCAAGCTATCTAAGGACTAGCCTAAAAAATAAAGAAGCTCAAACTTTTGCACACAGGCCCAGCCTGAGGACTGAAAATCTAAGTTCAGCCCATGTAAAATTGTGGGCTGGGTCAGTCTGAGCTTGAATTGGGCCACCCAGGTTCCACCCCTAGAGAAAATCAAGAGGTGGTCGCTAAAGGGAGTATTTCAATCACATATTTTGTATAGAAAATTTGACTTAAACGAACTTGGTACAATGGTATTTGGCTAGATTGATTTAAGTTAGAACAATTAGACATAAAGGGTGCAACTTGGTCTGGTTTAACCCGAGCCCGATATGGCTCAACCTAAGTTTTAGCGCAAGTTAAGCCTACATTTTTGGGTTGTAGGCTGAGCCAGGGCCAGAAAATCCGGGCCTGAACTAAACTTGGGTTGAGGCCTTATGTAACCCAAGCCCAAAGAGTTAAGCCTGCCCAAATAAATACATGCATATATGTATTATATTCATATAAAAATATCATTTTTATTTATATGCATTTAAACATGTATAAAATATGTATTTGCACATTTGTAAATGAAATTTGTAAATATTTTTAATCAATTCTACTCTTAAATTAGGCCATAAAGCCAAAAAAAAATGACTATGAATATATTATACATAAATTATTTTCAACCCAACCAATTCACCCAAATCCAACTTGAGCCCGAGCCCGGCCCAAATTGTGTTGGATAAAACTTGGACTTGACCTCGGGTTGGGCTTGGATTGACCTTCAACCTGACCCATCCTGCCTGAGTTCCACTTAGACCATATTAGTTATATGCATGGGGGATGAGGGAAGTAAGATTCTTCTGCTCACCCTACTATGTATATGTCAACACTGGCATATTCACTTGTGATGTGTTACATATATAGTCCGTTATAYACAATAGGTCAAGCAGCAGGTCCAGACTCGGTTCAAACTGATCAGATTGAATTCAGATTAAGGTAATATCCGAATATAATGCGATGGAATATGAGAGGTTGAACTAGCTCCATTTGATGCCCTAATTAACATGCCTTATATTATGTAGTGATCAATGGAGTAGTTGACCAAAAAGAAGGTTGAGGAGAGACTTTCTGAGGTAGTGGGAATTAAGAGTTTAAAAATTGAGTTTGATCCGCAAATGACTATTTGAGTTTGATCCAAATATAGGCAATCCCACTTTTACTTGACTAAATATAATTAAAATTTGATATTAAAAATGAAAGCACAAATATGATATAAAATAATATACTTTATAGAGATATTAATATCCAAATAGACCACACATCCAAACCCATATCTATACTGGATATGTCCAACTCGTGTTGGTATTTAGTCATTTTATTAAGCTAAACCAACTAAATCTATTTATATATTTACAGAGGAAAGAGAGTAGGTGAGGGGGTCCTTTCACCTCGGTGATCATTGGAGCTTGCTCCTCTCTATTTTCATAGGATGGCAATTTCGCCTCAGTGATCATTGAGGCTCGTTTGAGTTTGGGTCTAATTGAGTTTGAATCTCGAGATAAGTTTGATTAGTTCTTCGAATTTGAGTTTGACTAATAAAAAGTTTGATTTAAAAGCTTGCGAGTTTTGTTTGATTAATACATGCATACATATAATTTATAATTTATATTATGAAATATATTTATATTTTATATGTTATAATATATATATATATACATATATGTGCTTGAAAAAATTCCTTTGTTTCAAGGAAATCATTTTCTAAAAAACCTTTAATAAAAAAAGATTGGAGATTCGAATCCCTGATGGAAAATCCATCTCCATTGAGGATCAAGGTTGGAAACGGGGATTAACATAAAAGTAAAATTAGGGTCAATGATAGAGAGTAATGTCCCCTCCCAATGTAAGGCGATGGTGGTGGTGGTCTTGGCTAAATTGAGAAGGAGATGAAAATGGGAGGTTAGGGTTTGGTCAGAAAAGCTTAGGGATTAAGAATGGGCCAGAGAATGAATTAACAAATGGATTAATGATCAAATGATCCTTATTTATAGGAGAAGAGGAGGATTTGTATGTGCATAATGTGAAGGATTCCAGAATATCCACAAGGCGGTCACTCGTTTTAAGTGCCCAAGTTGATTAGATGAAAACACACGTTAGATGGTAGGGTGAGAACCAGTTTTGTCAGCCTGTGCAGATGCCAACTACCTCTACGATCCTACCATGTGTTGCATGCAGAGCGTTTTCTATAGATCTTGCACGCCTATACAACGTCTTTGTCTTTTAATTTTGTATTGCGGCTTTAGTGTTTGGCTGTCCCTTGTGGTAGAGGACCACGACTCATTATGTACAAGAAGGATGACCCCAATTAGCCCCCTTGTAGTATAGCTATGGTAGCGAGTTTGCGTTTCATTTTGTGTTATTAGTTGTGATTGTGATATATGAGCCCATTCCTTGTTTCCATTATCAAATTTTCCTTGTTTCCCTTTTTACTTTTTCATATATGTGCTTTATTTATTTTAAAATTAAAAATAAAATCACAAAAAAAATTTAAGTCTTAATGCTATCTAATAAAACCCGTAAGTCTCTCTAATAGAATCCTTCTAAACTCCCCCCAATTGTCTATCTGTAAACATTTTTTTCCATTATTAAATCTCTTTGAATTATCTTAATTCTTTTTAATAAAACAAGAGTATTAATTTGATGGATCAGGTGTGGTTTAGGCCGAAACCTAACCTCGAGCTTGTACTAATACCACGGTTAAAGCCCAAATTTGCCAACCCAAACCCACCTAATAAGCTAAACCTGATGCAACTTGTGATGGGCTCAAATGGATTTGATTAAGCTTTGGTGGGTTATTCAACTTTGAAAATTTTCTTACTAATGGTTTTTCATTTTTATATGTTTTATTTTGGCTTTATAATAAATTGGATTCCACTACAATTATAAAATTAAAGTTAATTAATCTATGAAGAGTGATGTTTTTTTTTATTTGATTTGATTTTAATAAAAAATATTAATTATGTATCACTTATTTTGTTTTTCTTATATTATAATTACCTAAACACTACAAACAATCACTAACTCTTTGTTAACTCCTCTTTATTAAGGATTCAACTATAATTCCAGAAAAACTTACATCCAATCAATCGGTATCATAAAAGAGATGAACAATCAGGTAGTGTTCATCACAATTCATGGGGAGTTTGATTGATCAAAGCTCTTCCTATACCATATCTTTGTGGTAATAGATTTTCCCCTTTATTAATTAACATCTACATAAAGTCGGAAACACCCTGTACAGAATTCTGAATTCCMGCCCCCTTATTATTAACCCTCTCCCCCCTATAAACCACATCCTGCTTATGAATTTGGCATTAATTTACGATCAGGATGCATTCCCCCTGTACTATGGAACTATAAAATTCTGATCTGGGCTGATTGGTCATTCTCCCAAGTCTTTATTAATTGACATGAATATGATTATTAGTGCCAACTAGGTTCACTGCTTTATTGCACTAGAGACCTAGGATCTATTCCTTTTGCCACGTGGTTGGGTTAGGGTGTCTCAGTCCTCAATCGATTATTAATTGGGGCAAAATCACGGACCCAGAACCATCCCACGTAATAATTGGGTCTGAGCAATAGGCCCTATTAATTATTATAGTAACAATTATATTTATTTATTTAAATACTAACTTAAAACTAGAATTTTGATAATATAGACTTAATAAAAATGACAATAAAATATTAAATTTATTTGTATGTTAATAAATTAAGTGATTTTACCTAATATTATCTTATCTATTATTTATTAAATTTATCATGTCAAACAAAACTAGGAAACCCTTATATATTTAATAAAATAATCAATTGGAATCTGAATCAATTTGAAACAAGCAATAACTAGAACCAACCTATTTTTTAATTCAGACAAAATCATAGAATCAAAACCAGCATAATCAATTCAATTAGGTTAATCCGGCAGAATCGACCCATTAACAGCCCTATTAATAGAGATTTAAGGAGGAGATTAAGAAAGATTGAAGGACGTAGTGAATCACTATGTTTGATTGTTTGACTATATTTGACTTGTGGGCTTGTGTTAGCTGTATCAAGTGACAAATCCAGCTAGCATAAATCACCATACTCTCTTTCATATCAAATAAAAAAAAAAAAAAGAGAAAGGGATTTTTATTATTCAGTCCACCCCTAGGTGGAGTTAGGATTTCCTAGGGGTGGATTGAATCCTGCCCGTGGATTGATGTTAAATTTATGGGCAGGATGTGGTTTATAGGGGGCTATTAATAGATAAGGAAGGGGCTGTAAAAAAAATTCTGAGGGCTATTGCAATTCAAAAATCCCCAAAAGAGAAAATTAGCCGGGGAGCAAATAATCTCTCCACAATTAAGATCCCATTCGTTTTTTGGAAAGTTATTTATTCAGGTAAAATAAGTATTTTCTATGAAATATTTATCCAGATAAGTGTATTTACTCATATTCTTTTATTTTTCAGGTGGATAAATAAGACAATAACCATTTTAACCAAAAAAAACATTATTAAAAGAAATAATTTTATCTCATCCAAGTATTAATCCCTAAATATGCCTTGCCGTTTGATAATCTACTGAGTCCCTAAATAACACCTCCATAGGCTTTGATTCCAATCCAACGGCTCCTGTAAAGGCCCAAAGTCCAGCCGACAATAACAAGACTCTTTATTTCGGGTCTTCTCTAGTCAAGCTTTTTTCTGCAAAGCACAAGCTCCATTCAAGCTGCTTTAATTTCACTCGTCCTCTCGTTCTCTGCTCAAAAAGACATCGAAAAGTTGATCTCTTACAAACAAACCGAACATGTCGAATCGCAGCTTGTTTGCAGTTCTCTTCTTCCTACTGGCGACCACCTTGGCTGCTTCCAGTTTCATTTCAGGTGGGTAATGGGTTATCCCAGATAGATAGATATAGAGCTCAATTCATCAGTCTTCTTTCTTCCATTTCAAATCAAGTGTTTGGCCTCTGATACTGTTGGGATTTTATTAACACTCCAGATGATGTCTTTGAATTTCGTGGATTTACGAATCGGAACCTTCTCCAGGCGAAAACGCGTTAGTTTCTTTCTTTCCTCCTCGTCATCTTAATTCTAAGTGTATTATGTTGAATCCACATGATAATAAAATCTGAAGTGGGATCAATTAATTAATTAGTTCTTGTTCTGGTAGATTTTGAGATCGAATCATGTATTGGTGTTCTTCGGCATGAAATATTTTTCTTATAATTTTTATTATTTGGATAAGTATTGGTTTCTAATAAAAAATAAAAAAAGGTCATTTACTATAACATCTCATATAGTTTCATAAATTTACTTTAACTCATCTTAGAAGTTAAAAATTGTTTAAAATTCACCATAACTTTTTAGCATTTCTCTTAAATTTAACATAACTTTTCAAAACATCCAAAGAACCCATCTGCTAGAGCGTCCTTAGTGTATATTAACAGAAATTGCATAAATACATTTTTAATACCAAATTGCCCTTGAATAGCAAATCATCCTTATTAAATATATTTTTATGACTACTGCCTGAAATTTCCTTGGTGTTGCCTCTCTTGGGGACTGCAAAGAATAAAGGTCTTCAGCGCCACCTTGAAAATTGTTTGCGTGACCATGCTTTGGACTCGGTATCTTACTCTTAAACATGTAGAAATCAGTCTAGTTGAAGCTCAAAGCCCTTGATGTTGGCTCTCGGAACGACTGGACCGAGTAGATCTCAATAGAAGTGAGGTTGGATATTCTTGAACTGAACGATTTACTCCTGACTGAAGTTGCGAGCTCCACTGCTGAATTTGTTGTCTAGATCGTATTTGGATGATAAAATAACAAAATTAGTCCTTCAAAAATGGGTCTAATATAACAAAGGATAAAATGATAATCTATTAACACCAATTAATCTGTTTAACATCAAGTCACTGACATGAGTTTCGCTGGATGTTTTGAAAAGTTATAGTGAGTTAAAGAGAAATGATGAAAAGTCATAGTGAATTTTAGATAATTTCCCTTTATTTAAACACCCCTTATAGTTTGCAACATATTTACTTAATCAACTTTTCACTAAGAAGTATTTATTTTATTAACTGGAAATAGTAATATGATCACCTAAACTGAGTGGAAACTTACCCTTAAGGTCCTAACACTTCTTCGTATGCAAAACAAAATTGACCAAATAGAACTAAATACAATGGTTATTCATGTCTTATTAGGAGGCAGAAATGATATTTTCATTTTTATTTTCTTTTAACTAAATTTATCTAATTAATGAAATGAGGATTAAGTGAATTGATTGCAAATTATAGGAGGTATTTTAGTGAAACACAAACAATAGAGTAGATTTTAGTAAACTCATGGAACTATGGAGGTGTTTTAGTAAATGAACATAAAAATGTTCTTGGAACTGTGTGTGTATATTTCCAAAACTGAAAACGAAGGTTAAAAAACATGTTTTTATCTAATAATTTATGTTTCATAAATTATAGAATATGCATCTGAACTCCAAAATTTGTTTGTATTAAAAAAACATCATTTTGATGGTTCCAAAAGTATAAAATGGGTTTTTAAAACAAAACCAATTGCCTTTGCTTCTCAGAAAAAAACACAGCTCAAGAACATATTTTATTAATTGCTCAAGAACATATTTATTTATTTTTACTGAGATATGGTGGTCTCACAAACAAATGAAAACAATAATACTCATGTTGTACAACACCCCTTAATATTTTAGTTTTGTTTTCAAACATCTGAAATCCATATCTAACTGTTTTATTTTTTCCTATTGATCTGCAGCTTGCCCCATCAATTTTGAGGTCCAGAACTACACCATTATCACCAGTCAGTGCAAAGGGCTCAAATACCCACCCAAGCTTTGCTGTGGAGCCTTGAAGAAATTTGCTTGCCCCTTCGCAAAGGAGTTGAATGACCTCACCAATGACTGTGCCTCCACCATGTCCAGCTACATCAACCTCTACGGGAAATACCCACCTGGCTTATTTTCTAGTGAGTGTCGGGAAGGGAAGGCAGGACTAAAATGAAGGGATGAGAGATCCATCCTATGGACGCCCAAAGATTGCGGAATAAGGGGCGAATTTCAAAAAATCTATCTCTCCCTTCAACTGGGATCGTATTCCCTATTTAGAAATTCATATTTTCAATGATCAATCTTGAACCATAAACTGAACCAGATCTGAACCAAAAGGAGTGGGAGAGGATTATACCTGATACGGAGAAATACTATCTCCTAA